GCAAATTCAATCACCTCTATTATATGAACTCTCCGATTATCAAAACCAAACTGAAATAGAAACATTACAAGAATGTTGCTAAACTCTAATTTTTCAAGGATTTTCTAATTTCTGGCAGCAACAATATCGTCAACCTAAAACACCATCAAGCTGACTTTCTATGCTACATTATAATATTCTTTATTTCTATTCAAATCAAACTGATCTTATTGAAATGATAAATGATCTGTCCCCAACAATAATCTCTCTCAATGAACTCGGTACCATAGTTCCGAAGAAAATAACCAAACAACTCCTCTTCTCCTACAACGTTTATTTAAAAGAAGCTACGAATTCACATGGTGGTGTTGCATTAGCGGTGAGCAAAAGATTCAAATATCATTTGATGGAAATCAATAAATCGAATTTGGTAGCTGCTCAAATTATAATCAATCGTCAAAAATTTGTTGTCGCAAGTGTTTACTCACCGCCTACTAAACAATTACCCTTAGATACTATGCAAACCTCACTGAATGAATCAAAGAATATTATCTTGGTAGGTGATCTAAATGCCAAGCATCCAGATTGGGGCTGTTCGCAGATGAATTCCAAGGAACACGTCTTAGCTAATTGGCTTGACAAACACAATTTGAATGTACTTATACTTGTATTAAAACATCTCTACGCTCCACAACAACCATCAATCTTATTATATCAACTGAAATTCCTGAAACATTAGAAAGTCAATCTTTATCTCATACAGGCAGCGACCATCTACCTATATTCACGAAATTCTTCCATCTTAGGGTATTAATGGACAAGCACTTGGCACCTTGAACTTATTGAAAACTTTACTCATCGATTCTTGCTGTTCTTTATAATCAACTTCAAGCAGAATATGGAATTTTGTTGAATGATTTGTACAACACTTACAACTGATATCTTATGTGTGAACAGTTTCTGACCGCTCTTAAACTTGGAGTAATCGTATGGGATCAAGTCAAACGAAAACGATCATCCATTTTATCCTTACTACGAATACTTTTCCATCACAAGCATTACTTACAAAATAGATATGGACATTCAAGCACATAGACAAAGAAGTTGGGGACAATTTATATCAAATGTTGCTTTGCCAAATCCATCAACATTCTGGTGTACAGTGAGAAAGTTGAACAAAAAGAAATCAATTGACTTTCTTGGTTTTAACAGATAAAAACACAGTATATCGACCACCGAAAGACATTGTGAAATGCTTAAGTCATCATTTTACTGAACGTCATTCATCACCATCAATAAGCATGGGAAATGCAGATGATAATGAAGATGATGAATTATGGAAATAATACAGTTTAGCTGATAAAGATGATATTAAACTAATATTAAGTCAATCTGGTCTTCAATTTGATGAACAAGATATAAAAAATACAATTGGATGATTAAAAAAATAAAAACTCATCTGGTTTTGATCAAGATTCTAATAAAATGATCAAGCTCCCTTCGATACATTACAATGCTTTGCTTACTCATGCTTATAATGAACTATTTCGTGCAGCTCATTGGAGCAAAGAGTGGAAAGCGGCTCGCACAATTCGTCTTAATAAAAGCGACAATTCAGCATCAACTACAAATCAATTACTTTCAATTTTGATGTTACCAATATTCAGTAAAATCTTTGAAAGATTATTCCTCATTAGATTCAACAGATGGTCATCAACAATGAATATTTTACCTGCTCAACACTCTGGGGCGAGACCTCATCAAGCAACAACATCCCCAGTTAACTACTTTTTACGAACAAATTATCCAACCACTACATTACAATTCATTCACTTCAGTCGTTTATATTGACTTTTTACAACCTTTTGGCAAACTTTGGCAACAATGACTGTTACTGAAGCTGAATAGATTTAACTGTCCTTCAGTGTATCTTTCTTAGATAGCTAATTATTTTACCAATCGAACCCTCAAAATTGATTATAAAGATATTGAATCATCTATTGATTAACGTTGAACGAGGGGCTCCTTAAGGTAGCTGCCTTTGTCCTATAATTTATGTTACCAGTTATTATGATCTTTCTCAATGTTTTGAAAATTCGGCTCAAAACCTTGTATACGTTGATGATATAGCAATTGCTGATACTTCATCAATTTATGTAAAATCGAAATCTCAAATTGCCGAAATCGAAGAACGTATCAACAACGACATGTTAAAGTTGTCCAACTACGCGAACAGAGGGCATCAACAACTAAATCCGAATAAAACTGACTGTGCTGTTTACTGCAAAACAGTTCAATGTTGGATATTTACTATGATAGAACGAAAATTTTGCAGAAAAAGAGCTTCAAATATCTTGGCTGTCACCTTGACGCGGAACTACCTTTTCGGATTATGATTGACGCTCAATTTATTAAATTACGAAAACCTTACACAATATTAAAGTTTATGCATCGGCAGTTCCCGTCGTTTTCAAAATTGAAAAACAAATTCTTTAATACATATATATATATATATGACTACACATGTACATGATGGCCACAATTTATTGCCTCTTCGCAAAGATCTCTCAAAAAATATTGGCAGCATTCTATCGATGATGCTTACGATTAATTCACGATCTATTTCAATGTCTAACAGAAGATTTACATAGTCACTTTCGTCTGTCTACAAGTATTCAACTGTACGAATCAACGTTCATCAAGTGCGCATTACACTATAAATACTTATTCAGCATACATACTTTATAACCATTATCGAATTAAAGCGAGCATAAGATATATGCTGCTTGGTCGTTCAAGCAAAAGATTCGCTTCTTTTCTTGATAACGATTATTGTACCTTTTTCGATCATCTATGTGAATTTGTTTTTAGTTAGTTTTCACTCCTTACTGGGAATTTGAAAGTCTTATTCGTGCTATGACGATTAGCGCCATATGATGAATTCTTCACAATAAATATATAAAGCGTTAGGAAAAAAATACATATTTATGAGCATCGACTTGAAAAATAAATCGAAGAAAACGACTAAGGAGATACATCGAGTAGGTAAATTCAAAGAATACGTCAAGAAATTTCATTAAGACAATAGATATAAATCAAGGGAAAATGCTTAATGACATAGATTAAGGAATTGCACTAAGGAAATCGATCCAATGGTCAGATTAAGCGTAAAGATTAAATGGATAAATGTACATCTACAAGACTAAATGTAAAGCGATAAAATGACGGGATAAAACTATACTCTAAGAAAAATTCATTTTCTTGGAAACCCGAGTCCCTTCGGAAACTCTTTCAGAAACGTATAACTGAACCCGAAAGAGTTTTCAGACGTTTGTTAGAGTTTTGTAAATGCCTTCTGTGTTTTCAAGTCTCCGGTAACCGATGGATTTCAAGAACAGGAAGGCTTTCTCGGAAAATATTCCGATTTAATGAAGTAAACTCTATGACCAGTAATCATTTTGTCGCATAGATGGATAGTGCTACCAGTAGTCTGCGATCTGAACATGAAAAATCGAGAAAAATAACTATTATTTTAGACAATGCTAAATGGCATAGCAAGTTTACACCAGAATCTGATGTACCAAAACGTGGATGGAGAAAAAAATTATTTGCTGGTTGATTAACTGTCAGAAAAATCAAATTTGGATCTTATCTGATAAAAGCCGAGTTACCTCAATGAGTTTGTTCTCGTCTACCACCGAAAGAATTCTTAGTTGATAAACTAGCAAGTAAATATGATGTTGAAATAGTTAGGATACTAGTTAAGCATTGTGTCTTGAACCCAATTAAACTTGGTTGGACACGTTTAAAGAATTATGTTCGACAAGAGAGTGTACATTTCAATTTGAATAATATTCAACAACTTTGTAACGAATGCTTATCAGTATGTGGTCCTGAACATGCTGCTGGCTATTTTGCACATGATAATAAACATGAAGAAATATTTAAAGCTGCAGACAACAAAATACTGAAGAATTAGAAAATGATTTGATCGATAGTGACAATAATATTGATGATAATGCATTAAATAATGATGATGATGAAACTGATGATTGAACTATTTTTTTAAGTAAACTATTAGTTTTCTTCATATTTTTCATTCTCTTCAAGCAAAAAACCGCATCAATTATTATGAGAGCATTTTTTCATAAGGAAACACCATTTATTAATTGTGTGTGTGTATTATCAATAGCAAAAAAAATGTAAACTCAAAACGAAGATAAATATTGCCATGACGCACAGCATAGTCGATAACCTATCTTTTCACATGTTTGTAATAGTACAGCACATAGAAAAAGAGGAATTATAGGGTGTCGAGAAAACTGCCTTGTTCGTCTAAACCTTGCGAGATAGAACTTTTTGTTTAGATCAAGTTTTCGAGAGAACAATCTGGGCTATCTATCCATGCAAAAAGAAAACAATAGACTACTATTGCAATTTTCAGAAAACCACCTTGATTTTCCAAAGGTCGTCAGAGAAACCGATGTTCGGATTTCTTCTCAAAAATGATTTTGCTTATGAAAAAGTGCTCCTGGATCCTGGCTATCGGACGATGAAAACTGCACATCTCTATCTTTTTTCTATCGAAATTTATTCAAAAAACATCCGAGTACCTTGAAATCTATTGCTGACAATAGTTCGTCTTCAACGATTTTGTCAGATAGCGGCTGAAAACGTAATAGACCTAGTTCGAAAAGCAGTCAGACACTTAAGACTGTTATCACTCTTCCTGAACAACAATTGTTATCCATGTACATACAAGTCGCATAAATTTTCTAAGATATGTTTGAACTGCAGCAACGAGATTATAGTACAATTTTCAGTCATACCGTTACGTCTGTACGAGATATTCACGAAGCAAGGATCGAAAATATGTTATCTGGAACTCAAAATTCTCGATGGTTCTTCATTCAATATATTCAATAGTTTGTCTTTGAAAACAGCATGCCACGATTCAGGGCATGACAGAATGTTTTTTTTAATTTCGCCTTTTCAATCAGAGAAAAGTGATGAGAAGTTCAATCATTTTGAAAACTCGGAAAAAAACTTTAGAAAACGATAGGATTTTTTCAAGATTTTTAAAAGTTTTCGTGAGTTATTGAACTTCTAATCAACTATCTCCGACTGACAGGGACATATTTCAAGTGAAAAGTTCTGTCATGCCTTTCATTCTGGCATGTTGTTTCAGATAATAAAAATTGAACATATAGAAGTAGGACTCATCGAGCCGAGGATGGCATAGTGGTTCTATGCATCTGACTATTAGTCAGACATCAGAAGGTTCGATTCCTTCCCTCGGCATGGTATGTGACCTCGATTTTAAATATAAAAGATATGCGGTAATGGAAGAATAGACGCAATGAAGGAAAGGAAAAACAATACATGTGGACATGGTCATAGCTGCCTCGCCAAGATTGTTTATTTTCTATTCTTTGTAATTCTGTTCTCTGTATGTTTTATGTTATTGATTTAACTGTGAACCTAATGAAAAATGGCACAGTAAGAATAAATTTAAAAAAAAAAAAAAAAAGAAAAGTAGGACTCATCGAGAACTCTGAGTCACCGCATGAGCTATATTTGACCATTGTTTGGTGAAGATCTCTCTAAAACGTAACGGCATGTGACTGACAACTGTAGCATAATCTCTTCGCTTCAATCCAAACATATATTGTCAACTTCATGCTCTTAACATGTACATGAACCAAAATCATTGTTCCGGAAGGTGGGAGCGGTGTTAAGTGTTCGAAAGCTTCCTCGACTGACTGTAAATGATTTACGAAATTCTGGAAACTTCTGTTGGGTTTCCGAAACCTTGAAATTTTTTCAACTACTTTTGACGCTCTTTGATAGGTTTCTAACATCCTGAAAATCCTTTCTCGGAAACCTCCCATAACATTCCGAGAAAACGAATATCTCTATAGTGTATTATTTATGAAAGTTATAACACATGAGATTTAATTCAATATCTAATAAATGAAATAAATGTAGAAACTTTTAATGAAAAATTTTATTAATATGAGAATTTTCGATCTTGTACGATCATTTTCAACCAAATACCACGATTATAGATGTTACAAACATCGACAAAAAAGACAAAGATAAAACAGCAATGTCATCATGAATCATATGATTATGAACAATACCATTATAAAAATTGTCATCATGAATTGTTATTATCATAAACAATAACTTTATAAATAAATAAATATCAAAAACGATATTAACATATAAATCCATGCGAATATTTAAGATAATTTAATGTAATAACACTATATATTAATAACTTAAAATATTATTCATTAGACTATGGTATATTGCAATGAGATATATTCCAAATACATATGATTCTTAAAAGATCAAAATTCTCATATTAATAAAATTTTTCATTAAAATTTTCTATATTTGTTTCATTTATTAGATATTAGAGTGTATTGAGTGGCAATGTCGAAAAGAAACGGTTTAATAACTTCAGTCAACTTCGAAAATACAAACAAGTGTTACCAATCGACTTAGCTTGATCGATTACCCCTGCCCTGACCAATTCTCGTTCGGTTTAAGGCAGTTTGATCAATTTCGAGCTCTCAAGAAAACTCTAATAGCTCCTCAGCAAAACAGACTAGAGATTTTAGTCTTGTATAGATCGAAAGACAACAATCTTTTCTATCTAATGATTGAATTTCTAGTCAGAGTTCAATGGTGAAACCTTTCAGAAAATCATTTACCACATGTTAACCATGTCGTTCACCTG